TCTTGTCTCTATATTGCCAGACCTTCTGTTCACGACTAACATCATCTACTACTTATGTCAATATAAGTAGCACACTCCACACTACTAATATTACAAAAACAACTATTATTATTATTACCATTACAATTCTTATCAGATTTGTAAGGTATTTATCATTCAACCTAATTCAAATGATCTAATTATAAATGTATATGATTTGCATAAATATTCTCTTGATTTTTATGTTTTTTCAGTAAAATATTAAATATTATGCATATGAAATGAGAACGGATCTCTGGAGTAAACGATATCTATATCTCATAAGTCTTAGTTACTAACCAAATAGCTTATTTAAATATTAAATAAAAAAAACTTATAAAACATGACATTCAACAAAAGGATCTCTATCTCTTTTCAACGAATTTATGATCAAGCTGTACAATCGCATATAGATATGAAAACTTTCTTTTATTTAAAGTACTAATTCCATGAAGGAATGTGAACAAGCAATAATCAAGATGATGTAATAGAATGATTATAATACTAGATTACTTACTTACTTACATACTTCCTCTTACCCTTGTAGAACCAAACTGTGACGTGTTATCGTATCCAAGTAGTAACAAAACCATTTTAATCATCTCATTGCATTCACTTAATCTATTGATATTATTCGTAATACGTAATCTAGTATTAGCAACAGGCTCAAAAGCAGTAGGTCTCAAAATATGCATAAGGAAAAGAATGCACCAATTGAATCACACTTGACGGAGAACATTTAGAAGATGTAAAAACCTTTACATATCTGAGCAGCATTATTGATGAGCACGGTGGATCTGATGCAGATGTGGAGCCGCGGATCGGAAAAGCAAGAGCAGTATATCTACAAACGAAGAATATCCGGAACTCAAAACAACTGTACAAAAGCCAACACCAAAGTCAGGGTTTTCAATACAAATGTCAAGACAGTTCTACTATATGGGGCAGAAACCTGGAGAACTACGAAAGCCATCATCCAGAAAATACAGTTATTAGCAGTTTTCTACGCAAAATACTTCGGATCCGTTGGCCGGACACTATTAGCCACAACCTACTGTGGGAGAGAACAAACCAGATTCCAGAGGAGAAAGAAATCAGGGAGAAATGCTGTAAGTGGACAGGACACACATTGAGGAAAGCACCGAACTGCGTCACAAGACAAGTCCTCACATGGAATCCTCAAGGCCAAAGGAGGAGAGGAAGATCAAAGAACACATTACGCCTGGAAATGGAGATAGATATGAGAGAAATGAACAAGAATTGAATGAAACTACAAAAGAAGACCCAGGACAGAATGAGTTGTAGAATGCTGGTCGTCGGCCTATGCCCCATTGAAAGTAACAGGCGTGAGTATGTAAGTAAGTAATCTAGTATTATAATCATTCTATTACATCATCTTGATTATTGCTTGTTCACATTCCCTCATGGAACTAGTACTTTAAACAAAAGAAAATTTTCATATCTATATGCGATTGTACAGCTTGATAATAAATTCGTTGAAAAGAGAGAGATCCCTTCGTTGAACTTCGTGTTTTTAACCAAATATCTAATGAAATGCTGGTTTAATTTGGGTTAATTCTTGATTGTAAACATTATTCAATATGGATTAAATAATGACTGAAATATAAGGGTTCAATTGTAATATACATCATGTCCTATCACGTATACAGAAATTCTCAATTTTTTGCAAAAAACAAACATAGATGGTTTATCATCAGAAAGGGTTTTGTGGAGATTGTAGCAATTTCAATAGTTGAGATCATGAATCAGTTTAAGACAAACCACCATAGAAAACCTTTACTAGTCAGTGCTTTTCACTAGATTCAGGCTCAATGGTTTAATGGTTAAGCGCTCACGCGCGAGACTGATAGGTCCTGTGTTCGGATCCCGCGAGGCTGGGTCGTGGATGCACACTTCTGGGGAGTCCCACCATAGGACGAAACAGCCGTCCAGTGCTTCCAGGGTTTTCCTGGTGATCTAGCTTCAATTGGCTCATGATCTCAACAATTGAAATAGATGGTTTATGTTCAAAAATATGTACATTTCTCTTTTTATAGTATGGTAAATAAGTTTATTTGACTGGGATAGGAAGACCTCGACATTTGAGAGGAAACGCAGAATACAATCGATAGCTTGCATGCAACTAGACGATTTGGACCTCACAGATGACGTAGCCGCTGTATTCCATACATACCAAAATAAATGCAGGTTGGGACAACCAGTGTAGTAGCAGCAGCCTCTACATAGGTAGAGTTCAACGTATAAAAGGGCAAAAACAACATTCTCAAATACAACACGGTCAACACTAACCAAACCAATCACACTAGGTGTAGAAACACTGGAAAGTGTGGAGTCTTACGTACATATGAAGCAGCATCGATGAACAAGGAGGATCTGATGCAGATGTAAAGCTAAGGACTGGTCAAGTAAGGACAGAATTCCTACCGTTGAAGAACACATGGAAATCAAAACAATTATCGACCAATGTTAGTCAGAATCTTTAATACGAACGTCAAGACAGTTCTGATGTATGGAGCTGAAACATGGAGAACTACTACAACCACCATCAAACGTTTACAAGTATTTATAAACTATTGTCTACACATGATACTCAATGTCTGTTGACCGAATACCGTCAGTGACAAAATAATGTTGAGCAGAACAAACTAGATTCCACCTGAAGAGGAAGTTAAGAAAAAATGTTAGAAGTGGATATGACACAAATTGAGGAAATCACCAAACTCCATTACGAGGTAACCGTTAACTTGGAATGCTGAATGGAAAAGAGCAAGAATAAGGAAAATACTGAGTTTAAAAAAATGGGGGTAGACATGAAAAGTATGAATAGCAATTGGAAATAACCGGAAAGAATTGCCTAGGACAGAGTTGGATGGCGAAAGCTGATGAAGGGCTTCTACTTCTTCACGAAGGGTAATAAACTTGTTCAAGTAGGCTAAATGTATTTCATCAAAATATTAACATGTGTCGTTAGATTCAAATCATTTATTCACTGACTCAAATTTAAGTATGTTGTCCGCTAAGGTATTGAGTTACATCTAGTGGGAAAATTTGCTAAAAATATACTTTACTCATTAATATCTACATGGGGTTTTATTCTATCATAGTTAATAATCAAGATTCGATCTGATCGGTTATTTTCGAATATATCAAAATCATAGAGACTATACAAAATATAATGAACAAATGGTTAGATACAAGGAATGTTGAGATATCTGTTCCTTAGACTTATTATTTTAATCATATAACCTTATCAAATATACTCAAGGATATCATGAGTGATGGTCAAAAAAAAATTGTACAATGAAGTAACGACGACGTTCATGTTGTGAATCAAAAACTGTTTGTTCATTATCATGGGGTACAAACCCATGAAGTCACTGATTAGTGGACTGTGTGAGCCATGTTCGTAGGTGTAGACTACCTGGTTGGGATGCGCGAGATGATAGCAACCGATGGTTGAAGACCTTGAATAACATGACTCAAAATCCTTTGCAATGGCTCAGGTGCATACACTCTTTGTATTCTCCCAAATTCCAATCTTCTGAATTCTTCATGTTGCTTTTCTTTTTCTCTTTCTAAATTTATCCCACTAGATTATACTCCTTGAAAACCATCTTCAAACCCTAATGTTTCCGCTTACTGCTTATACTTTTACTACCTCTACCACTACGGGATTTGAATCAACAACTGCATATGTGTGATAATGTGGTATGGCAACTCGAACTGATGTACGTATGTACGTATGAAGTTCTACGTTGTTAATGACTGATTAACTAACTTCATTATCTTAACTTACTGAATTATATTAATATAATACATTAAATATAAACACAAATACTGATGTTTGGCGAAGATGAAAATGAATAGTTGTTTGCTTAATCAAAGTTATAGATAATCTGACAAGCATTAGATGAGTGATATATTCTCCTATTCTTATCACAATTGATTGATCACTGGGTGATGATCAATGTCATGCTTGTCTAGTCCTTATTAGTGCAGATCGAATGCTATCGATCATGTTGCAATGTGGCCACCAGTCTAGGTGACTCGACACTGCGGGCACTATGTATTGAGATTTAGATGGTGGTTGGAGGTAGTCAACAGGAAACCCTGGACCCGGGTTTCCTGTTGACTACCTCCAACCACCATCTTATCATTATTATTATTGTCTGTTCATTGTTGTTGGATTGCGTCGATGATTTTTGATATGGAAATATAATGACGTTCTAGTTAGACTAATCACATATTCTTAATCTGAGTTGTATTGAAGTCCTTTAGAATAAACATTGGGAGAGTGTCTAATGTAGATATTTGTCTCAGATAAATTCATATCGCATTTGTCCTAACAAAGAACTTTAAGCGTTATAACACATACATAATATTCAATTATTATACTGTAGTGTTGGTTATTATGTTAAGCCCATATACCTTATTCTAGCTTTCGGATAGCTCAATCTATTCATTCTACTCGAGTCACATTCCGACCTTGTTATTTATTCGCTTATCAATCTTGACTGCTTTTATATGATCCTGGTAGGTGTGTGTACACTTCATATCCCATGTCTCATCAGATGTCTGTAACTTATTTTTGTGTGCCTATAAATATTGATTAACGCTTGGTTGAATGGGTGATGGCTTACCTGCCATCTCCACTTTGAGTCCTTTCTCTTCTCTCTATTCCATTCACTTCATATACAAAATATATGTATTCACAAGTCCATTTTCATTATTCGACTTATCTAAATCTGTTATTGACTAACGCGATTTAAGTCGATGGATTATATAAGAGGATAGGCGACATATATATTTCGATAAAAAACATTCATACGATCTCCTTGGAGTTAGATTTCGGGCCACTAAAGTGGAGAGCCCTTTCGACGACATCGTTTGATCTAAACGACAACAAAATAATGGGCCCCACAATACAATTAAAAACTCTAAGACTCAACACTAAATCACCATTAATTTCAAAGATAATTTATTCCAATGAAATAACAATATAACATGATTACACCGAGATCACAAAAAAAAAATTTTTTTTTCTTTTTTTTTCAAAAAAACGAAGAAAAAAAAGTAAAGAAAAAGAAAAAAAATTATTTGAATACGTAATGAGAAATGAGATTTTTTTTATAGATTTTATGAAATTTCTTCTTTTTTTAATTTTCTCTCTTTAGTTTTTTTTCCATTAAATAATAATAAAGATAGGACACACATTGAGGAAAGCACTCAACTGCGTCACAAGACAAGCCCTCACATGGAATCCTCAAGGCCAAAGGAAAAGAGGAAGACCAAAGAACACATTACTCCGGGAAATGGAGATAGACATGAGAGAAATGAACAAGAATTGGATGGAACTAGAAAAGAAGGCCCAGGACAGAGTTGGTTGGAGAATACTAGTCTGCGGCCTATACTCCATTAGGAGTAACAGGCGCAAGTAAGTAAGTAAATAATAAAAATAAAAATGAAATACTGTTTGTTTAGTTGTTTCTTTTTTTAAAAAAGGAAAAAAAATTCAAAATAAAAATCAATAATTTTATTCACCTAGAAAATTCTCTCTTCTATATACGAACTCTACGATTACATAATTCATAATTATTGATTATCCAATATGAAATAATGAAAAAAATGATGAAAAAAAAATCAATAAATCAATCATTTCAAATTTTATAATTTTTCATTATTATTATTGATCGAATTGATTTGTTTATTGAATTTCGACTGAATCACTTTTGATCTTGGTAATATGGTTATAGGAGATGTACTATTATCATTATCATTATTAGTAGTGTTAGTGTTAGTAGTATTAGTAGTAATATATTGATTATTTTCATTGATTGATTCATTCATTGTATCAATTATAATATGATTTAAATGTTTAAATCGATTACCAATATGTAATAAACTTAATATTAATATAATCGATGTAATTAATAATAATAATGATGTACTAGTTACTAAATATGGAAATATCATTTGTCCATATTGATGAATTAAATAACCAGTAATAAATTGTAATAATGTAGCACCAAATGAACTACCAAAATTTACTATAATAATTAAAAAACCATTAATTTCATATGAATAATTAATAGTTGCTAAGGTAATTGGAAATAATGGACTTTTAAATAAACCAAATAATATTGTACATAAATAAAACCATAATTTTTCATAAGGTAATATAATTAAACCAATAGAACTACATAATGTACCAATACATAATACTAATAATAATATAGTAGCTTTAATCCATAGTGCTAATAGAAATAATAAGATACGTCCTAAACAAAAACATAACCAATATATAAGATTAATAATATAACTATCTTTGATAGTTAATTGTATAGGACCATATAATGCATAAGTAAACATAAATTTACCAAATACACGTTCATTGCCAACAATTGTAAAGAATGCTATAAATGTACAACTAATAATGATTAAATGAATCTTTTTAATTGTATAACATTTTTGACAAATGATAGATTGAATGAATTTAATAGAATGAAATAGATGTTTCTTAGTAAAAAATTGTTTCCATGATGATGAGGTAATCTATGAAAAAAAAAGAAAGAAAGAAAGACAAAAGTGAGAGTGTTAACGGGACATAGACTAGAGTAAAGTATGCTCAATGCACGCTTACGTTGGCGCACGCTGATTGGATAATAATTAACCAATCAGCGTTAGTCAATACTTGGAGTATACTCTAGAAATCTTCTCATGCCAAAAAAACTAGAAATATACTAACGTTTTCCCTATTGTACTTTTTACTTCCATCTAATCTTGTTATTTGGAATATAATCTATTTTCCTGTTCAACTGTGTTCTGGTTTGGGGGACTTGTCGAGTGAATTGGTGTCCGAGAATACAAACCAATAGGAATGGTTGGGTTATAACCGTAAGAGAGAAGTATAACAGAGAGAAAAACAATAAGTATTGTTCCATTTCGTGCATTAGTTGAAGTTAGACATTAACACAGTTGGATATCGTACGGCTCAGTGGTCTGTCTAGTGGTTAGGTGCTCGCGCGCGAAACCAGTAGGTACTGGGTTCGAATCTCACAGGGGGTGAGGTCGTGGATGTGCACGGTTGAGGAGTCCCACAATAGGATGAAACGGCCGTTCAGCGCTTCTAGTTTTTTCATGGTTGTCTAGCTTCAACTGATTCATGATCATAACCATTGAAAATACTATAATATCGAGAAACCCATCTGATATTAAATAATAATAATAATAATAATAAATCAGAAAATTTTATTGATTCCAATAGTTGAAATTATGAGTTCATCGAAGCTAGATCATTATCGAAAATTTGAAAGCAGTGAATGACTGTTTCGTCCCATTGTGAGACTCTTCAACAGTACACATCCATGATCCCATGACCTATCAGTCTTGCGTGAGAGCGCTTAACCACTAGACCACTGAGGTAACCGACATTCAACAGTGTTAATGTCTAACTTCAAATAATAAATATTATTTTAATAGTTGTGATCATAGAAAATTTGAAAGTACTGGATAGTTATTTTGTCCTATTGTGAGACTGATAGGTTCTGGGTTCAAATCTCACAAGCGGACTTATGGACGAGCACTGCTGAGGAGCTCCATACTAGAATGAAACAGCCGTTCAGTGCTTCCAGGTTTTCCATGTTAGTCTAGTTTCAATCGACTCATGATCTCAACTATTGTAATTACTATAATATCCACAAATATACCCCTTCTGATATGAATTTATTTATTTATTTTTCATTCATATCTGTCATTTGACATTCTTAATTTTAATCCGCTTAAAGTACATTCGTTATTTATTTATTTATTTATTTTGATAAACATTTGGCATGTCAACTATTTTATCGAATCATCTATTTAATATTGTTGTCATGTCAACAATATTTTCTTCTTTTTTTTCAAACGAAATTGATGACGTAATCAATAGAACTCATAAATTTTATTATTTTGATTCTATATACAATGAAAAATGGTTATTTACCATTATAAACATTGACAGGATAGTGAAAGAAAAACAAAAGACAGAAATGTTATCGGTTCAATTGATCTTGTTTCTTTGATTTAAGTTAGTATCTTTGATCAAATTGATTGTTTAACATTCCAATGGATAGTGAATAATAATAATAATAATAAAGTGAAAGACAAAGAAGATCATTTATAGTTTATAGAATAATATTCTATGAATTATTTAGAGTTTAGGAAAAGTAAACTATGTGACAATAATCTTAGATGGTGTATGCTTTTGATAGAGTTTTGTTCTCTAAGCTGGATGGTTTGATCGTGGAACTTTCATCGTTCTTCTTCTGAACGACATCATCAGCACAAACTTCAGATAGAAATGAAGTGTTCGAATTTCTCCATATGTGTTTCACAGCTTGTTCTTCACACCTCGATGTTGATTGATTCTTATTGACTTTAAATTTATCATTGTTTACTGCTTTGTTTTGGTTGTGTCTCCCATTGGTTTGATTTTTGTTTTTATGTTTGTGCATAATTTTCCTGATCGTTTGATAAATTGGAGCGATATCAATGTGCTTGTTGATTGCTGATTGACCTGAGTGCAAGGCTTCTAAAAATCCTCTGGTGTTTTTTTGGAATTTCCTCTGTCCAAGATTTCCACATTTTTCCAATCGAACGAGTGTCCGCAGTTGTCCACGTGTATTGATATAAGCGAGGAAGTATCATGGTGTATGCTACTGACATCGATAGATATAAGTACTATGCATCATGAATTGAAATTGAAATGTCTGGTTTACAGAAGGTTCTCAGATTTTACTAAAAGATTCTATTACTTTTGTTTTAACTTGTGATCTCATACATCACACTTGAACTTTTCAAGTTATATCAATCAAGGAGAGGTTATGAACAATAAAGTTCATATATGTCAATGTATGACAGGTACTCAATGAGAATGATGAAAGATAGTTGTGTAATGTTGCAAATCAAATAAAGTTAGATATTTCTACAGTTGTATCCCAGTTCTATACTTGAGAAGATAAGAGTTCGTCGAGAGACTAAAGACATTTAGTTCGATCGCTGATGAGGGATTTTTGAATGTCCGCTGTTGAGGAGTCGCAAACTACGATGTTACCTGGTTTACAATAAATATCTAATTCAGGGAGATTCGTGATACTGGTAACAATCAATAACCTACACATATCTCTGTACTGATAATTAGGAAAGAATTCGTATAAATTATAAATATTTTACTAAAGAAATTAAGAAACGTTTCAGGATAGAGTGACTTTGATATTTTCATTACTTTCTAGAGTTTTACTATCTGTATTTTGATGCTATTAGTGGAGAAGTGCTGCTATGTAAGAAGTATAATGGAATAGAAACTGTTATTATCATTCAGTGTTGGTAAAATTGGAATTTTCCTACTATATGTTAACTATCTAAACACTGCGAAAGTATTTCCATTGTGATATTCATGCACATTTCTATTGTTTGTTTAAATCTTCTTATTGATGTTTAGGACTGCAAATGATCACTCCCTTATTGGCATATGTGCATCCCATACGGATTGTCTAGATATTTCTTTGAGCTACAAGCATTCTAAGCAAAGATAGATGATGCTCAGCAGTAGAATTCAGAACGCGCGTTTCACCCTATTTAAGGATCGTCAGCTGGATTTGCCTACATCTTAGAGTCGATGTTCACTCGCGGACTCGAACCCATTGATGTTCTCTTCAAGCGGCATCGCGTTATCTACTTAGCTACTGAGTCTAGATAGCCACTGCTTTGCAGAATGGGGTGAAGTTTAATTCATTTTCTATTGGTTATTCAAGTTTTCCCATTGGTATTTAGGATGTGCATCCTATCAGGTGAATAATCTGATGAGGTTTGATATAAAAAGTACTAGGTTCGAGTCGCGTAGTAAACATCAACGTGGATACATTTACATCCAGTGGACGAACGCCAAATAGGAGGAAACACGCGTCCTAGTTTCCACTGCCAGTTACCATCAATCTTTACTTATAATACTTGTGATATTCATATTATAAGAAATAAAAGTCATCTAATTTTCTAAATAAACATTTACAGTTTTTTTCTTCAATTTTCATCATTTTTATGATTGACATCAAAATCAATCGATATGGTTGTTCGTCTTTTTTTATTTTTTTTTAACTAGACAATAAACTGTCTAGAATTTTTGTCTGGGTAATATGTATCCTGAGAATTCCGTCACGGAGCTAGACACTTGTGACCAGTGGAGCTAATCTGTATCAGGTAGAGACAGGTATCTATCTCAGTTAAATGGAAGATGGTCGCGCAATTTCGCGGATCGGTTGATGTTAGACATTATCACCACTGGATGCCGGCTCACTGGTCTAGAGATTAAGCGTTCGCTCATAAGACCAAAGTACCTGGGGTCGAATCCCACGAAGCGGTGTCGTGGATGCCCACTAGTGAGGATTCGCACAATACGACAAAAAGGCCGGTCAGTGTTTCCAGGTTTTCCATAGTGGTCTAATATCAATTGGTCCATGATCTCAATAAAAAAACATTGGGAATTGTGAGTCGAAGCTTTCCAAAATATTCACTTGAATTTGTTTTCTCAAATTGGTAGAAAATATTACTTGGTATTGTTTTACTTGAATCTAACCATTGATGTTTAGGACTGCAACTGATCAGTCTCTTATTGGCATGTGTACACATAATGCTTGTAAATTAAGGTAATATCAAGGCAATACACACAGTATGCACATATTCCAATAAGATACTGATCAATTGCAGTCCTAAACATCAATGGTTAGATTCAAGTAAAACAATACCAAGTGAAATAAACTTCATCCCATTGCACAAGCAAGTGGCTATCAGGACTCAGTAGCTGAGTGGATATCGTGATGGCGTTTAGAGTGAAAGGTACTGAGTTCGAGTCCTAGAGTGTACAAAAATTCTGAGATGCCGGTACATCCAGTTGACGAGTCCCAAATAGGACGGAACGCGCATCAAACTGGATGTTGATATTTATTTCGTGCCTTTATACCTACAATTACTTGATTACTTAATCAGCTTTCTAAGATGATAGCTAAATAGATACTACACTTGTTCTAAAGTCATTATGTTACAGATATGAACTGGGCTGTTTCATTCGTTTTAAACAATAGGGTAGTTTTCATACTCACACAAGCGTATTTTTACAAACAACTGTATACAATTATTATCCTGATATACTCTATCAATAAAACTATTTCAGAATATCCATATCACGTGTATCTAATATGTAGTTATTTGTGTAGCTCATCTACAGATGATGGATAATAATTGTAGTTTGACATTGGGATGTTGAAGGTGTTGTGATCTTTGAACTGGATGAATTGGTTTTAAAGCATTTATTTTTCTTCAGAATCAAATTTCAGGTCAACAAAATAAGTTGTCAGTTATTCGTAGGGGTGCATTTAGAATGTATAAATAATTCTGTGAAAATGCTTATGATCTAATGTTACCAATCTATGGCTGAAGGCAACCCTCAATGATCATGTTTGATAGTTATCAATTAATAGAATGTGAACAGTAGACTGGTATACTTACCACATGATAGACTGTCAAACATTTCAAGAAGGAGGTGAGATTTTAAGCTTAAGATGATGATTTCGATAAAGTTATGTTCTGTGATCTAGGCGATTTTCCAAGAAGTTTTCGTTGTCATTCTATTTAACATCATCACCATAAACTTCAAGACAGAGAATAAATTGCTGATAACAATTAATCGGAGCTTGTAGTGATAGTGATAGTGATGTTGTCTAGAAAGGTAGAGAAAAGTTCACTTTTCAAACCGCCTAGCTCAGACAACTTGACTGTATCAAAGTCAGATAAGTGTTGGAAATTAGTGACAATCAAGTGGGCTTTCAGTTTATGTACCACTGTTCCATCTACTATATAGGCTGATGAACCTCCCCTAAAAAGTAACTGAAGTACAACGATGAAAATTTGTTCGTTGGTAATCTATTTTCCAGTTTACAAGGTTGTACATTATGTATCTATTCAACAGTATATTCCAGATCATTAGAATCAACCGATATGATTGAACTTAATCTTTCTAGACAAAAAGGATTATTCTGAACCACAATAAACGATGATAAGTACACTAACTTTGAAACAAAGTCAACAGTTGTATCATCATACTTTTCAGTCAGTTAGTCAGTTAGTCAGCTACAACGTAGAATCAGGCACATAAATGCATAGATACAAATTGCCATACCTCATTAGCACAACAAAATGAACACTGAATTCATAGAAGTAGTTAATTCAGTGGTGGTAATATATAAAAGAAAGATTGCATATAAGGACATAGTATAGGAAGAAAGATTTAGTAAGTAGAAAAAAAGAAAGATATGAAACGATTTCAATCTCATAGTTTAGGAGAAGATAGAGACTGTACCCACCGATGCGATTGTGATTGATTCTGAGCGATGTCACCCACAGTCTCCAACCATTAAATATGATATTCACACGGAACCCAACCAAGTAGTCTGTATCAACCAACATGGTTCCGACTAGAAGTTAGTGACTTCAAGTACTAATGCCACATTTTGGTTTGGCCGCTCCTTAGTATAGAAAGAGTTTGAGTAGTCTAAAATTTTATTAATTTTCCACTTATAACAATATCAATCTTATCATTAGTTAATACGATACCCAATGACTAGGCTTAAAAGTTAGGTTTCCATTGATCAAAGAATGAGTAACTTACAAGATAATTTGCTCCGATCGCTTATGACATCTTATTATGTTTTTTTAAATTTGTTTTGTGTTCACATTCTGTATAGGAACATGAAAAACTATTCATCTGACTAATGGTATTATCTTTAATTTCGAATAACATGGAGGGGTCGGAGGTCTAAGTCACTGGTGCAATCTCATGTATATACATCACTCAACCAATTGATGATATCATTTCATTGATCTGTTGATTAACATTTTATTTATTGATCTTAATAATCAAACATTTCGTCTAATCAAATCACAGAAATCCTCCTCTATAATATTAGTATAACAAGTTAAATTCATTTTGTATTGTTTACTCTAAACAAGTAAACAACACAATACAATACATTAAGAGTAGAAAATACTCGTAAGCTACTAGTATTTGATCACAGATACCTTAGGAATATTGCTTGCATCTGCTGGGATCACCGGGTAAGTAATAGTGAAGTTAGATGCAGGGTATTAAGGAATGATGGTAAATCAGTTGATGAGGTTGTGAATCTTCATTGACTGAGATAGTTGGGTCACGTGTTGAGTATGCCTGAACACCGATTACCATGAAGCGCAATGCAGATTAGTGTTGGGATTGGTTGAAAGGAAGTTAGAGGCGGCCAAATCAATATGTGACATCGGTGCTTGAAGTCACTAACTTTTAGTCGGAACCATGTTGGTTGATACAGACTACTTGGTTGGGTTCCGTGTGAATATCATAACTAATGGTTGGAGACTGTGTGTGACATCTCTCAGAATCGATCATAATGGCGTCGGTGTGTACAGTCTCTATCTTCTCCTAAACTATGAGATTGAAATCGTTTCATATCTTTCTTTCTTTCTGTATCATATCCTTATATGCAATCTTATTTTTGTATATTAACATATTAAATAAACTACTACTTCTATGAATTCAGTGTTCATTTTGTTGCGCTAATGAGGTACGGCAACTTGTATCTATGCATATATGTGCCTGATTCTACGTTGTAGCTGACAGACTGACTGACTGTTTACTTGTATTTTCCTATTGATGTTTAGGACTGCAGTTGACGAGTCTCTTATTGACATATATACAACGTGTGAAGATTGCTTCAAATAGGCCTTAAATCATACGCACTTTATGGATTCCACTTCTAGTCATCATTCATTTCTTACTTACTTACTTAGGCCTATTACTCCTCGTGGAGGAGCTGCTCATCAGCATTCTCTATCTAACTCAGTCCTGAGCGATCCTCTCCAGCTCATTCCATTTGTTATTCATCCTTTTCATATCTGATTCTAGTTTAGTTTTAATAAACATTACACGAATAGAGAGATACACTGTGAAACAAAACAACTTACCTTGGTATTGTTATTATTTCTTAATGACATAATTCCATTGTGTTCTGGATCTGTTGAATGATCAATACACATAATTATTAAAAAATAAAATACACAAAATAATACAATTCCAGCAACGATTGAATAAGGTATCACAGCATTGACAATCACTAATTCAGTTGAATTATCTTGTTTAGTAGCAATATTTGTTGCTAAGGAATGATTATTATTTGTAGTATTATTAACTGAAGTTGAAGGAATTGTAAATGGTTTCACTAATAAAGGAGCTAATGCTGCTCCCATACCATAACCGGAATGCATTAAACTAAATGGTCCAGCTGCTTTTTCTTCCCAAACAGAAGCAAGTAGTGGATTACCGCCTAGAATAAAAAACAAAAAAACACACACATACAAACAAATCCCATGTGAATTACAGGAAATAAGAAAAAAGTTTGAATAACATTATTGTTTTACGTCTTCGTTAAGGAGAATGGGTTGTAAAGAACAAGAAGATATAACAAATGAAATTTTCGAGGCAAAAAATGAAACAAGATTTCCTGATTAACCAGATAACAGCAGTGATCATAATTTTTAAAATTGATAACTTGGTAACTATAATTTATTGTTGTTACCGTAGCTTATACAATGAATTATTTTTCCTGGTTAACAACTTCCAACCAATATCAAAGTCAAAATCTTCGATAAAAACGTCAAGACAGTCAGTCCTACTGTACGGAGATGAATATTGTGTAGATAGGAGGACGTTATAGAAACTTCTTCGACACTACGGAGTCTCTGAGGAGATTGTCAATATTATCCAGAACTCATACGACGGACTACAGTGCAAGGTCGTGCATGGAGGACAGCTGACAAATGCATTCCAAGTAAGGATCGGAGTCAGACAAGGCTGTCTACTCTCTCACTTAATCTTTCTTCTGGTGGTCGACTGGATTATGAAGACCTCGACATCTGACGGAAAACACGGAATACAATGGACAGCTCAGAATCAATTAAATGATTTGGACTTCGCAGATGACCTAGCCATCCTATTGCATACACATGAACAAATGCAGATAAAGACAGTCAGTGTAGCAGCAGTCTCTGCATCAGTAGGCCTCAGCATACACAAGGGGAAAACCAAGGTCCTCAAATTCAAAGCGGAGAACAGCAATCCAGTCACTTTTGATGGCGAAACTCTGGAAGATTTAGAATCCTTCACATACCTGGGAAGCATCATCGATGAACAAGGAGGGTCGGATTCAGACATAAAGGCGAGGATTGGCAAAGCAAGAACCGCATTCCTACAATTGAAGAACATATGAAACTCAAAACAACTGTTTATCAACCAATATCAAAGTCAGGACCTTCAATACGAACGTCAAGACAGTCAGTTCTACTGTACGGAGATGAAACATAGAGAACTACGACAACAAACATCAAACATGCACAAGTATTTATAAATGGTTGTCTACGCAAGATACTCAACATGCATTTGGCGGATACCATCAGCAACTGCCTTCTGTGGGAAAGAACAAACCAGATTCCAGATGAAGAGGAAATTGGGAAAAGACGATGAAAATGGATAGACCATAGAAACTGCAGCACGAGGTAAGTGCTAACTTTGGATCGTGAACAGAAGTGAAAAAGAAGAAGGCCAAGGAACACATTATGTCGGGAAATAGAAGTAGATATGAAAAGGAAGAATCACAACTGGAAATAGTTGGAAATGAATGCCCAGAACAGGTTTGGATGGAGAGTGCTGGTGGGCGGCTTATGCTCCTCCATGAGGAGTAACAGGCGTAAGTAAGTAAGTAAGTAAGAAATGGATGATGACTAGAAGTGAAATCCAGAAAGTGCGTATCATATATCTATCAGAAAAATAAAATATTAACATTTAACATTCCCGAATATTGGAAATCAATGATTGACAGAAAATCTAGTGCTTATTAATGCAGATGTATGTATAGATTGTAGCACATGACAAGTCGGTGAGAATAACGAATGTATTGTTTAATGCACAATTATGTAGTCGTTTAGTAAAATGTGAAAATTATACAACAAATACATTATTTCTATATCTGGCGAGATTATAATTTTTGAACGAACCAATCAGATTTAGGATAACAAGTCTTGGTCAAATAGCGTCTTGGCATTTTAGCTGATGTCAGTTGGTGATGAAAAACCGTAAATCTAATTCCTAACCTTAATCATCAATTGTAAATTATAACTTTAATTCCTCATACAGGTTTATAACCTTCATTTAGCCCTAGTCAGTCGGTAGACACTTCCAAGGTCACAAATCCATGAAGCCACTGACTAGTGGACTGTGTAAGCCATGTTGGTAGGTGTAGACTACATGGTTGGGATCAACGAGACGATAACAACTGGTGGTTAGAAACCTTGAATGACATGGCTCAAAATCGTTTGCAATGGCGCAGGTGTATCCACTCCTCAGCAGTGCGCAACCACGATCCTGCCCGCTGGATACGAACCAAGGAGCTATCGGTCTCGCACGAGAGCGCTTAACCACAAGATCACTAAGGCGGTATCCAATGATGTTAATGTCTAATCTCAACCAATTCACGAAACTGTGCCACCGTTTATCATTATTTAGATACTACTTATATATGCAAACATTAGTAACATACATCGTATATGTACATCGCTTACTTACAATGCGAATCAACATTCTCTTTTTATCTTTTGACAGTACAAACGGAATAATTTCACTGATTATTCTTTTATATATTTTTTTCCGAAATTCAATCATATTGACATCATTCATTACGAATACAATATGATAATTGTGAATGTATGTATCAGTGTACAGTGAAAACGTTTAGTTAACGTCATGAAATGTAATTTTTAGAAAGAAAGAAAGAAAAAATTATAATAATCAGTACCAAATATCAAGCATAGTACAGTTACAGTATAGAGATTGATCATTTGAAGAGTTATTCATCATTCTCCTAATCTTGAAATCATACTATTCTTAACGTACATTCTCGCAAACAATTTTAATGATCAAATTATATTTATAATATTGGTGTTAATGAGTTGCTTAGGACATAGTTCGATAGAGGTTAGACATTAAGATCGTTGGATACCTGTTCAATGGTCTGATAGGTTAAGTGTTCGCCTGCGAGACTGAAGGCTCCGGGTTCAAATCTCGCTGGGCAGGATAGTAAATAGGCACTAGTGAGGAGTCCCACAATAGGACAAAACCTAACTGCAGTGCTTCCAGTTTTCAATGGTGACCCAATATCAATCGGTTCAAGATTTGAATTAGTAAATAAATAAGTTGGATACAAACTATTTGATATTGTGTTTATCTCACTTATAATTGTTTATGAAATCAATTCAATTAATCCTCTTAATATCTTCATATTTAATGAATAAATAAGGTATAGAAACAAGCAAGAATGGTTACAAGATAAATGTTTATTCTTTAATGAATTAAGCTGTAAAACTGTAGATATATTGTAATATCCTGATGAGAATAATGAATGGTAACTTTTGGGATCCATTTATGGATTAATATTTTTATCGCATAATTGTCACATAACTAAACTATACATATTCATGTCCCTCTTATTATAAGCTTTAATTTGACCCATAGACTATTATAATACGATTTACCATTCTTGAGTTATGCCCAGTCTATCAATTACTATCTCCTACATTCACACCCACATTTGGCTAAATCTTGTACATATGCTGTTTCCTATTTTGTGGTGCGATGTGGTTTGTTTGGTCGATATATAAACCTCGTATGTTCGAAATAAATGATTCATATCACAGACCCTGGACTTAACAGACAGGGTTAGGCGGGAAGCAGAACCGATAAGGGCTCTGGACTGCTTGTACGGGTTTTGTGTCATTGGTCCGGTCGATAAAACACTGTTCTCTAATTGGCGGTATCATTACGTTATGCATTAATAGAACACAAGGCACAAGTTATACCATATAAAACTCTTTTTACTATAACGACAATTAGTAATATGTTTATTAATGTCTGAAGATAGTAATAAGAAGAAAGTATAGAAGAAAGTATTTCACTTGACCATTGATTTCAAAGATGACAAAACTGTAGATATCTGTAAGAATAAGACTTCTAACTTCCGTAAAACAACATTCTTCTCAACAACATTGTTATTGTTCTTCAGTCAACCAATATTTAACAGTAAATTAAATGACAAGCTATTTCATTTAACTTGCCTCTATCAAGCTAGGCAAATAAGTGGCTTAATGTGAAGAGGATTCTAGAATATCCAGTACAAAAATGGATCGATATATCAATAAATTCATGAGATCTTTCATAACTGAAAACATTTTGAATGCTGGTCTCCATCAAAACACATTCAGAGTTTAATTCATCATCTGAGAATCAAACCCAGATAGTTCGATCTCATGGCGAACGCTTAAGCTCTAGAGGAATGGTTAGGCCCTCAACGGTCGTTTTTGTTGAATTTCATGTTTGGTTTCTAAGGGTGAATTATAAATGGTATTTAGTAAATATTGATGCCAATTAAAATGCCATTGAAAATACAAAAACACTGAATAGCTATCTTTTAGCATGATATAACAGTTAGCACACATGATTCCATCAGGGACTTAATAAAATAAATGAACTAAAATAACCTCAAAAAACAGCTCCAATAAAACTATAGTCGTGTACACACCAGTGGTTTAAATGTAGATATGTTCCCTGAGTTCATTTGGGAAGCCTTAATCGATGAAATTCAGACATATGAGAAATTAAACGATTATGAAGTGAACGAAGTTGGGAATATGTACTTCTGGATTTCAATTAAATGGTTTCATGATTAAGCTTTTGTCCCATGTTAATCAATGCCTGGTGAGGTCGTGAAAGTGCACAACTGAATTGTTCAACACTAAGACATAGAGTTTTTTTCAATCCTGTCTAGTTTTCAAAGGTATTTATATATTACTGAGTTAATTATTGATATGCCATAATAGAGATGAATAGATCCTTTACCAAATTAAAATTTACTATCGAAGTGAATAAACTACTATCAAATGTTTATATCTCAAAAAGAGTAATTATATACTTCATTATCACGCTCTACGGTTATAAGTCCATAAGTATTGTGATATTTTACAAAGGCCAATATAAGGTTGTGAACAAGAAACTCTGGAGCTAGATTTCGTGCTACTTGGCACTCGTCAGAATGATGTGCCTATAATCGTGAAGCAATTGATGCTCTCTAACGGATTCGATCCCGTGTCGCTCAATCAGAGACGTTACCACTGAGCTATCCGGTCGATAAAGGCTAAATAAGGCATGTATTAATGAAATGGACAATGTTATCTGTTGAAAATGGTGAACGTTTGCATGTGTTACGACACATATACTTCAATTCATGTAAATTGGGAATGATGGATGTGAAGATTAAGGTAGAAATAATAGAAAAAGGAAGGGGGTAAGAGGTTTACAACATTCAGTTTAGGTATCCGGTAAGCTAAGGTAAACATACAGGCTGGATATATCTCTTCTGGATACATAAGTTTGGTTTTCTGGAATTGATCCAGATGGCTTAGGCTATGTAGAGTAACCGTAATCTAGCTCATTAAGATACATTATTTGGAACTTTATATAAAACAGAGAAAGCTTCCTCTACTTTGATATGATGTTCACTATATATATTAAGTGATAAAGAATAGTGCTGTTGATCGATTTAGTAACTTCTTTTCCCAACTATACTGGTACATGTTCACAAACATCCAAGGATAAAGCCCTCTGGGTACAACTTATGCAACTAGCTCCACAGGAGCAGTTGAATTGGTATATACACATTGGGGAGCCCATCATCAGCAACCTGTCATTGATTAGTTGTGTAAATACTGGTTTAGTTGGGAAAATTATATGTAGCTTGGCGTCATGAAACGTCCTTTCAACAGATCTTTTGAGTCGATGTGTTGAAATATCACCTGCTATGTCCCCTTTAAATTCCAGTGTCAGAGATAGGGTATTTTTTTACTGACTGAGTCACAATTTCTTCTTTTTTTAATTAACCTGATGTAATTCATCCAGAATCTTTAATACGAACATCAAGACAGTCAGCTCTACTGTACGGAGATGGAACATGGAGAACCACGACAACCATCATCAAACATGCACAAATATTTATAAATAGTTGTCTACACAATATATTCAACATCCATTATTAACCGGATGCCATCAGTAACAGCATTCAGTGGGAAAGAACAAACCAGTTTCCAGATGAAGAGGAAACCTGGTAAAGACGATAAAAATAAATAGAACATACAAATTGCATCACTAGAAAAGTGCTAACTTGGAATTGTGAA